TTCTCCAGGCCTTTTAACCACTGCTTCAGATTCTGTCAGAGTCTGACCATCAACACCTGAAGAGACAGAAAAGAAAACCATCAGATGTGACACTTTCAGAAGACTTTTTAGAGTAAAGATGAGTGATGATCATCACCTGCCCAGCAGACAGTAAAAAGCAGCAGTCCTGTCCTATAGTCCATCATGTTCAACTGTGTGTCCACTGTTCTCTGTCGTCCTCTCTGCACTCACATAAGTAGAGGAGGAACACATCAGAGATTTGCATTGACTCCTCCTCAGAGAGATAAGAAACTAATTTCATTTGGATATCACTTCTTTACTTTTGGAATTAAATTCTAAACACAAGTGTCCTTTTAAGTTGTTCATCGTTAGTTTATTTTTTTCGGTATATCAACTCAGGCAGCCAATCAGTAAGAACACAAAGCAGAATAACACACAGCTCCACTTTTTGACAGTTATTGAACATACAGTAACATCTGTGATCACATGTACCAAAAATATTCACATCTAACAGGAAGTTAATCCCCATCATGTTCTTTGATGGTGTCTTCTGTTCTCAACATTCATGGAGGATTTTGTCACATGGGCTCAGGGTATCAGAGAACAAAAGTGGTTTTAAAATCTAATTTTTTTTATAATTTGATTGAATAAGATCACCATAGAGGAAGCTAAAGACCTCTGGTTCAGTTACTAATGTGAATGTGATCCTGATAACTCTGAGTTATTTTGTTGAATACAAAGGTATTTTCATAATGTCTTACAGCTTTTTTTTCTCCTTACTGTAAAAGTGAACTGGTGTTTAATATGTATAAATATAATTATAATACATTTGGTTTATTTGTTTTACAGAGTCGCATTTAAAGAAAAACACTTTTAAACAATGGTACAAAAAGAAACATCAGCAATCTAAAGCAGTGTTTATAATGTTTCTATCAGTGATTTGAATTGTGGCAGGTCCGTAAAGTCTCAGGTGTGTTTGGGGAGAGAGATCCAGAGGGAGAGGGGCAGCAATGGAAAAGGCTCTGTTCCCCTGGTTCAGTGCTTGGTGTTAATCATTATTGGTGTGAGGGCTCCTCCTCTGGTGGCTTCATGTTACTGGTGTTCAGGCTATGAGGGGTTTTTGTTCAGCTCTACTGATGGGTTGTGTCACTGTGGGTCTCTGGCACAGTAATACACTGCAGTGTCTGCAGGCTGCATATTCAGTCCGTTTAGAGTCGCTCTGTTGCTGGAAGAGTCTAAGTCGATACTGAACTGGTTCTTCAGTGAATCTTTGTAGTAAGTGTATCCAGTGGATCTCATTCCAATCCACTCCCAGTCCTTTCCCTGCAGGCTGTCTGATCCAGGCTGTGTGGTAGCTGCTAACAGAATAAGAGACCTGACAGGTGATGGTCAGACTCTGACCTGGCTGCACAGTCACAGAGGCTGGCTGTGTCAACTGTTCACACTTCACACCTGTTAAAAAGAGAACATGTTTAGTAAGAAATGACCAAGTTAAACTGCAGAAGAAGAACTGTTGACTTTGACAGATGCAGACAGACTCACATCCAGCTGCCAGCAGCAGCAGCAGAGCTACAGAAAACATGGTTGATGTTGAAAGTGACGTGCTGTGAACTCCACTGACGGCCTGATGGGAAGTTTTTATAGCTGAGTAACAAGGAAGCTCACTGAGTTTGCATACAATCAAACATATGAAGCATCAATGATGGTCTGACTGGAGCCAATAGGAGAGTCTGTTCACTGTTTTTATATCTGCCGAGTGAAAAGATGACTGGAAATCATCTCTGCTTTACATATGATAACAGATATAATATATGTGATCATACTGTAGGATCAGATTGGTTGAAAGTGTTTACTAATAACTGGTTTCATTCATTTTAGGATTAATCTTATCAAAGAGAGCAGCAACAATCAATAAATAGGTGATAAGGAAATGCAATTAGAAAGAGCTTTTCTACTCTTATGTTTATTCAGTAATATTGTGTGGATGTGATTATATATAATTATTCATTCATAATGTTGGTGTACTATCTTCATATCATGTGGGATATTTTAAATCTTTACATGTTTTGTCCACATGTTGATCTCTACTGTATGCTTGGAGTTCAAACCAAATGTAGACACAGTTTCTCCAAACAGATACAAAGAATTTAATCAGCTGCATTGTCTAAAAAACAGAAGTAGTGTTTTGCAAAGTCTGCAAACATTAGTACTAAGGAAAAAGTTTTAATTATGTTGGTTAAATCTGAATTTTCATCTCTTCCATTAGATAACAGTATCAATGCTTATAAATATGAATGTTCCCCGTGATGGTGGAAAATAGAGGAAGTAGTTTTTGTACAACTCTCCTGCTCTTGTCTTTTCTTAAGGAGCTACTAGTCCCGTATTGTCCCTCGAGAACATTACGGTCCCAGAATGCACGCCTGCTAGTGGTACCTACAGTCTCTAAGTGTACTATGGGAGGTAAAGCCTACAGTTATTAGGCTCCTCTCCTCTGGAATCATCTTCCAGCCGGGGTCCGGGAGGCAGATACACTCTGTATTTTTAAGAATAAACTTTAAACTTTGCTTTTTGATAAATCTCATAGTTAGGGCTGGTGCTGGTGTAAACCAGCTCCTAGTTATGCTGCTATAGGCTTAGACTACCGGGGGAACTGGCACCTTTAGCTCCTCTCTCTCTCTCTCTCTCTGTACATATACAGTACATCATATTACTGCATGTATCTGTCTGTAAATCTCAGTCACAAACCACTTACTTTCCTGGGAGCTCTTGAACTCTCTTAGGCTCCTCGAGATCGTTGGTTGACGGCCTGCCAGAACAACCCCCCCCCCTCCTCCACCGGATTGTTGATGGACGGCTTGCCTCCTCCCACCCCCTTGCTCCCTATCCCTCTTCCTGCATCTTATCCCATCTCTCCTTTTCAAGCCCGGTGCAGTCTAGGCCTGTGAAGGTTGTTTCGTCATGAGCCGGGGATCCGGCCGAAGATTTCTGCCTTTTAATAAGGCAGTTTTTTCTTACCTCTGTAACTTTTGTTGCTTTGCTAAAGTGCTCATGATGGATAGGCTGGATCTTTGTAACATAACAATGAGTAAGGTCTTTTACCTGCTTTTTGTAACATAACAATGAGTAAGGTCTTTTTACCTGCTCTTTTGTAATGTTAACAGACAAAGAGTAAGGTATTTTACCTGCTTTTTGTAAAGTGTCTCCAGATAACACTTGTTATGAGTTGACGCTATACAAATAAAAATCAATTGATTGATTGATTGATTGTCTCTCACTGTGTCTCTCCTGGCACAGTAATACACTGCAGTGTCCTCAGTCTTCAGACTGTTCATCTGAAGATAGAGTTTACTGCTGGAGTCATCTCTGGAGATGGTGAATCTGCCCCGGACTGACGAGGAGTAATAGATATAAGAACTAGATGTGCTTATATAAGCAATCCACTCCAGTCCTTTTCCAGGAGCCTGTCTGACCCAAGCCATCCAGTAGCTGCTGAATGTGAATCCAGAGGCTGAACAGGTCAGTCTGTGGGATTCTCCAGGCCTTTTAACCACTGCTTCAGATTCTGTCAGAGTCTGACCATCAACACCTGAAGAGACAGAAAAGAAAACCATCAGATGTGACACTTTCAGAAGACTTTTTAGAGTAAAGATGAGTGATGATCATCACCTGCCCAGCAGACAGTAAAAAGCAGCAGTCCTGTCCTATAGTCCATCATGTTCAACTGTGTGTCCACTGTTCTCTGTCGTCCTCTCTGCTCTCACATAAGTAGAGGAGGAACACATCGGAGATTTGCATTGACTCCTCCTCAGAGAGATAAGAAAATCATTTATTTGGATATCACTTCTTTTACTTAAATTTTCAAGGCAATTGACCTTTTTATTTGCTAATCTTTTTATTATTTTTTTTCGGTATTTCAATTCAGGCAGACATTCAGTAAGAACACAAAGCAGAATAACACACATCTCCACTTTTTGACAGTTATGAAAAATACAGTAACATCTGTGATCACATTATTGGTGTGAGGGCTCCCCCTCTGGTGGCTTCATGTTACTGGTGTTCAGGCTCTGAAGCAGGGGTCTCAAACTCAAACTGGCATGGGGCCACTGGGAGTACTGTCGACTTAAAGGAGGGCCACTACAAAGTTCAAGCACCACAAAAAGGACTTTATTTTTGCAAATGTACTTTTTGTTTCCGCAAAATTTTGTCACACATCACTAATACAAACAGCAGTTTATATACATTTTTCAAAACATCTGCTTTTATTTAGTAGTGCAAGTCTTTTGCGTTTGCTTTATACCTTAAATAACTAAAATAACTTAATGAAATAATAAATAAAACCTGCACTGAACCAAAAAATGCAGTTACTCAAAATACCAGTACATTAATCCTGCATTCTATTTCTTGCCAGACACCTGGCAGCGCTTCTGCTCACACAGATGAGCCACATTTACCTTGATGGAGGTCACAGTTGAAACCCTGAGTACAGCTTCAAGGTGTGCATCACTAAGCCTGGATTTTATTTGCTTGCATTTATTAAAGTTCATTGTCGAGAAAAGTTTCTCACACAGATATGTGCTTTCAAAAAGGCACATTACACGACTGAACAATTTGGATAGCTCTGGGAAGGATGCAGGTAATTCTCTTAGAAACTGTCCAGTCAGGTCTGCCTTCCCTGTACCTCTCTGAATTTATTTTTCAGTTCACTGTTACACTGCAGGTCAACAAGTTCCATTTGCAACACACTTGGGACACTCTCAACATCAGCTGAAAAAGGGTCTGCAAATACCTGGAAAGTGACCCGGTGTTCCTTGAAGTCAGCAAAACGCTGATCAAACTCCTGCAGAAGATTGTCAATAGCAGAGGTATATTCATCACCACTGAATGCTGTGCCCTGTTCCACAAGAGATCTGAATGCTGGGAAATGACTGAGGTTTTTGGCAGAGAGCTGAGTTTTCCACAATCTCAGTTTTGTGCAGAAGGCTTTCACACTTTCATATGCTGCTGTTATGAGCTGATCAGGACCCTGGAGCTTCAGGTTGAGGATGTTCAGCTGCTGTGTTATGTCCACTAGGAATGCAAGGTCCATAACCCATGAACTCGTACTGCTTTGGTGCAAAATCTTTGGCAAAGCATGAGAAGGAAACCTCCTCTCCCCCATCACATGAGGAAAACACTTTAAGAGTTGGCTCCTTATAAATCGGCACTGTAAAACAAAGATATACACAAATATATGTTTGCGCAAGCAGGGAATAAAACGTACAAAGATATATATGCAGAAGCAATATTTTCAAAATGCAGTCGACTTCGAGGTTAACTTAATTTGACTTTTTGACTTGTGGCTTCTCCTCAAATTTACACTTTTAAACGGAAAGACTCAGGAGGAAAAAATAACATTACTAAACAGCAGAGCTTTAATGCTCACTTCTGCATATATATTTACTGCTCCAGCAAGCAAACATGGATCAACCCAAACCTTAATTATCAGCATACAGGTCAATCTATCTGCATAACTTTAATTATGCAGATGGATAGAAACAAGCATGGCACATTGCAATGCTGTGATTGTAGACAGGTGCAGAGGACATGCAGAATATTAGTAAGGAGTAAAATAGACCGAGTCAGCAGCGGAATATGCATGAGAAAGTGTCAACCTTCTTATTTCACCTCACTCTTTTGTTTGCACGCCAGAGTCACTAATTATTCAAGTAAAAATATTAAAGGATATTTCCCAATATCTCACATTAAAACAGTGTTTTTGTTGATTTTATTATCTTTTATGTTTCAAATTCTTTTGAAATTGAGTATATTTCTGTAGTAGACTGACAGAATCATGTTAAAGAAATTCAGTTTTGTTGAAAAATTACACCAATAACTTAAACATTTACTTAATTATTACTCTTATTATTATTTGCAGTAGAAGTATTTGTAGTAGTTTTGTAATTATAATTATTACAGAAGTATTGTAGTACTTTCTAAGTGTACAGTAAAATACATATCTTTCTAATCTACATGATGTAGACTATTTTTATAGGCAGATTATTTGTATTTATTTGATATCTTTATTGCATTTTTCATAGTAACATTGTAATATTAACATATTCTATATTTATTTAACACAACCAGATATATTAATTGATTTATCTGAATTAATTAAAATATTCTTTCTAATTTATTAAATATGTCCTGACACATTTTACAGATCACAGTGAGCCTATCAAGTACGACCATTTTTACTGCATGTACATTTCTATCAATGCAAATTTAAACAATATAAAATGAGTTTAAAAATGCATGATAATATATATTATCATCTCTGCCATCTTAACCTGCTACATGTAAAAATCAGCTGCTATAAGGTATTTATATGACTGAGCAGAAGTCTTACGTGTCACGATGAAAATCCCCTCTCCGTCTCCTGCTGTGTTTGATGCGATGCATTTAAAGGTCTGCTTTGCATCCAAGTCCTCTTTGTTCACTTTGATTTGACTGATTCCTGTATAAACACCACTCTTCTCTACTGGAGGATACTGGATGAAGTCCGTCAAGGCAGTTCCAGCTTTGCTCCACGCGTAGGTCACCGAGGAGGGCGAGAAGCCAGTGGCAAGGCAGCCAAGAGTGACGGTGTTTGCAGTCTCAGACCCGCATTGCATCAGAGGAAACACGGTTGGTTTGGATGAAGTGGCTAAAAAAGAAAAGAGCAGAAAAAAAATACTGAAATGAAAATGAATCATTAAAGAAATTTGTTATTAAACTTAAATCACACATGAAGAGAAGTCGGCTCACTTTTAACAGATGGCTTAAAGCATTGGATTGAAGAATACATTTTGACACCTTTACCTGATGTGGAAACTACGCTCCATACAGTTCTTCCATCTCATCTGCTATCTCTCTTTTTTACATGTTATTGTTTGAGCTAACTTTCACCAGTAATATGATTTTTGTGGTTTTCATATGTTTGATTTTTTTGAAGTCTACAACTTCGACTACAACCGCTCTGAGTTATATTTTAGACTGAATAGATGAAGATGTAAATTCTTTGAATATACGGCAAATTATTTAGTGGCAATTTTTTGTTCTTGACATACTTTTATTTAAATCAAGCAAATAATTTAGGAATTCAATTGTTCTTAACTGATGTAACGGTTACAGTTGTACCTTTTCTCCAGTAGTCAAAAGAAGTAGAAAAGTTTAAGTTACTTCAAATATAAAAAGGGCTACGTCTGCTTATGTTTTGTGCACTACCAACGGTTCTTGCAAATTTAACTTGCTAAAAACAATCGACATTGCATCTTCTTACAAAGTTACTGTTCAACTACACAAAAGTATCCTACTTTAAAAGTGACATTTAAATCTGAAGTATCACTACTTTAAATGTAACTTAAAAAATGACATTTTGCAGTGCAAATCTTACCTGATGTCACCGTTACCATTGTGCCTTTACCCCAGTAGTCAAAAGCATCCCAGTTATCACAGTAAAGAAAGTCAATAAGGACTTGTCACAAAAACCTATCACTGTAATATCCCACAACCTCTTGTTGAATATTTTGGTGTCAACAACAGTAAAAGATTCTAAGTAAAATATGCATCTTTGAATAGCATAAAATGTAAACCGAACTCTAAACTCTTTACCCGGCTACAAAAATTAGTTAGCCGTTTTATCGCTGGCTACTTTCCCATGACCACATCAAAAAGATAACATTGCATCAGTAATCAGATAAGACATTAAATTCAGAAATGTTAACGATACATACCTGAAGTTACAGTGACCATTGTGCCTTTACCCCAGTCAATAAGGACTTGTCACAAAAACCTATCACTGTAATATCCCACAACCTCTTGTTGAACATTTTGATGTCAACAACAGGAAACAATTCTAAATAAAATTTGATTCTTTGAATAGAAGTAATTTAAAACTGAACTCTGCAGCCAGGAGTTTGAAGTCTTTCTCAAACTCTTTACCCGGCTACAGAAAACAGTTTGCTGTTTTATCGCTGGCTACTTTCCCGTGGCCACATCAAAAAGATAACATTGCATCAGTAATCAGATAAGACATTAAATTCAGAAATGTTAAAGATACATACCTGAAGTTACAGTCACCATTGTGCCTTTACCCCAGTAGTCAAAAGCGTAGTCACAGTTGGACAATATATTAACCACGGCATACAAAAACCTGTTCTCAGGAATCAAGATATTTAACGGTTCGTAATTTTTGATATTATCTATCCTTTTGCATTTTTATATTTACCTCTGCAAGTATCAACTCAGAAAAGGCATGATTTCCAAAACAAAACACAAATAACATACAGTATTCAAGGTGTCTCAACTACAAAACAAGCAGTTGACTTACCTGATGTGACGGTCACCATTGTTCCTTTTCCCCAGTAATCAAAAACACCATCACAGTGTTATATATCACAGCATTTATCATACAAAAAGTGAACCAACCACTGAAGTTGTTGTCTAAATTTGTTTGTCATCACCGCAACATTCAGCATACAAAAACACACCATAACGATGTTTCTCATGCCGCTGAGGGCTAAATATGTTAAATAAAACAGTAGTTTATATTTCTTAAACATGAGGACAAAAAGAGCCTTTTTTACCTGTTGTGACGGTCACCATCGTTCCTTTTCCCCAGTAGTCAAAGTAGTAGTCACAGTGTAATGAGTCAACACATTCAACATACAAAAACGAGCACCATAAAGATGTTCCTCAAGCCACTGAGGTCTAAATATGTTAAATCAAACAGTATATTCTAATTTCTTAAATATGAGGACAGAAAGAGCCTTTTTTACCTGTTGTGACGGTCACCATCGTTCCTTTCCCCAGTAGTCAAAGTCACAATGATTGGTTTCAATCACACTTAGTGCAAAAATCCTCTCGAGCTTGTGTCATCGAATAAATCGATGTACTTCATCGTAAACCAGTTTGTATGCCTTATATTTACCCTAATGTAAATGCTGAAGACTGTACGTTGGTTTGAGTACACAATAAATCAACATTCATTTAATTAAACATTGTAAATCATCGACTGCATTCATTAACATGTATTTTGATTATTACTTACCAGAAGTTACTGTGACTTGGGTCCCTCTTCCCCAGTAGTCAAAGTAGGCATCACAGTGATATATTACAGTCTGCTTATAATATAAATACTAAACGTGTTGTTTAATCAGTGAAAAGATAACATGTTCCACTGACAAAAGCTATTCCCACTGTACTATTTATTAACCACGTCCCTAGAGATATTTATTTCCTGTGGTGTGGGTTATATAATATTAAGTGTGTTTGACAACGGTTAGTGTTCACTTCCTCTTTATCTCATTCTCCTTTCTCAGGTCTGGATAGTGCAGCATGGAGTTAACACAACCAGATGTATTAATTGATTTATCTGAATTAATCCAAACCTGCAAAAATGTGTATGATGTAGGGCTGCGTTGCCCTCAAGTCCTCATTCTATACCAGCTAAACATAATAAATATAAAGTCTTTGCACATATCTAATTCATCTGCCATAGCTAATTCAATCAGCAACACTATCTTTACTTGTGATGTCCTGTGTTTCAGTCCTTAACTTTGGTTTGGGTAATTTACAATCTCACAATCCATCAGCTTTCATCTGACAGCAATATATGCCTCAGGAATGATGGCCTAACTTCTAGTGTTGTAGGACTCAAAATCGGTCTTGGTCTCGAGACTTTTTGAAGGTCTCTTTTTGGAATCTAGAGAATTTTTACTTGGTCATGTCCAGTGTTGGGAGGGTTACTTTTAAAATGTATTCCCCTACAGATTACTGATTACATGTCCTAAAATGTAATCTGTAATGTATTCCCTTGGATTTCTCAAGTAAAGTAATGTATTCTAAATACTTTTGGATTACTTTTAGATTACTTACTACTAGCTGAGCGTGTTTATCTGGAACACTGAATTTAGTTAACACATGCTTTAGAGAACGATCTAATTACTGTCTTCAGAGAAAAAGTTATGCAAGTACACAAAACACAAATGTGCAACTTAAAGAAAAATGGCATCCATTCAATTTCCTTTACCTTTATTAATTTCCACAGCTCAGAAATTAGAGAAGTTAAAGTGCAACATGGCTGCTTTAACTAGCAGGTGTATAACAAAGCAAAAACATGCTTTAAATGTGCATAAAATAAAAATTGTAAATTGCATTGAGAACAATACAGGGTGCAATCATCCACTTCGTGAACTCACAGCAAACACATTATGCATGGTCAAAAGGTGACTTGGGGCACTGGTGGCTCAGTGGTTAGGGCACATGCCCCATGTATGGAGGCTGTGGTCTCAAGCGGGCAGCCCGGGTTCAAGTCTAGCCTGCGGCTCCTTTCCTGCATGTCATTCCCCACTCTCTCTCTCTCCCTGGTTTCCGACTCTATCCACTGTCCTATCTCACAATTAAAGGCACAAAAAGCCCAAACTTAAATCTTAAAAAACCAAAAAAGTGACTTTAAAGGCCAGTGTATATCTCAGAAAGCTTAACACTCTTATGTGTACAGGCAATATTTAAGTGCAGCTTCATATCTAGTTTACATGCCTGTAGGTGTATTCTGTGACGGTAGTTGTGAGGACAATATATGCACTAGGTAATGTGGTGGAGGAAATGGCTTTTTTTGTACATTACTCTTTTTGCACTTAAATGACAAGAAGCCAAAAGAATCGTAGAGTGAATCTATGGCTTTGATGACTGCCATGATTATATGCGCAGAGAACTGTACCTGTGTAACTTTCTCCATTAATTTTCCCTTCAGGCTGAGAATTGTGGGTATCAAAAAGCCAAGCAAACAGTTCTTTTCGCCCTGGAGAAGGTCGATTGACTAGGCGAGTGGTTTCAGAACTGCAGTGTACTCCTTCAAAAACACAACCTCTTGAGGGTGTAGTTTGGCCACATTGAGACGGTCACAGACTTCAATGAGCTGGGCTTCGGTGAGACTCATTACCTTTTCAATAGCTTGATACTCTGAGCTCCATCTGGTCACAGAGGGGACAACACACCTCATGTTGGCAATGTCTTCAATCACTTCAGCTGCACCTGGTGAGCGGTGAGCTTTGTTCCAAATGGCAGAACATTTTGACGTGGCACTTCTGTACAATTTCTGTGTGGGACCTTGTGATGCAGCCTTATCCAGATCATTTGTGGCGATCAGGTTAAGGGTGTGAGCTGCGCATCGCTGGTGTGGGGGTAAATAAAAGTTCTCATCTTGCTCCTCCTGGACCTCGTCAAGAATTGCAGCAACATCTGCAAATTGCACATCATCTGTGTCCTCTTCTACATCCGATGCTCCATATTCTCTGAAAGCTTTGACAAAATTGCTTCCATTGTCAGTCACTGTTGCTGTGACTTTGCCCTGGATTTGAAACGCACCATGTATCTCGCTAATTTTTGTTGCAATGACATCGTATGTGTGGCGTCCGCTTATTCTTTCACATGCCAACGCTGCCGATTTCCTCTCCAATGTCTCTGGCTCAATCCAGTGACAAGTGATCCCTAAATAACTCCTATGGTGGGCAGTCCATATATCTGCTGTCGTGCATACTGTATGAATCCCATGGAGTTTTCTGGTTATTGACCCTTTCGTGCTCTGGAACGCTTTGTTGATGCGCTGTGAGTGTAGGACAAGCAACATGCGAGCCGGCGGACATTAACTCTCCTTTCACATTAACCCTTCTTTCTTTCCCCGCATGTGAGCACTCTCAGCCGGCAGAGCTGGATTAATAGCTGCCGGGGTCATTTCTCCGTTAATGCTAATTAGCCAACTTACCTCAAGATGCTTCTTCAAATTAGACGTGGAGTCCCACGATGCTGAAAGCAGCTTCGTTGACGGTAAGCAAAGCTTGCACTGCACTGTGATGTTGCGGCCTTCTTGACCAGGTTTGTAGGTAAAATGTTCTCTGAATTTCCATGCCAAAAATGCATTTTTGTCCTCCTCCGGGTCGTTTTTCTCATCCTCTGCCATTGTCATTCGGTTGTGTGGAAAGTGCTATCACGCATTGACTTGCAGCGTACCTGCGCACATAATGCCACCTGCTTCTGCATCCGCACAGTGCAACCTGCATGTAGTTCCGTAAAGTAATCCCTACAAGTAATCCTTTTTTTGAGAAAGTAACTGTATTCAGAATACACCAATTTAAACTGTAACTATAACGGAATACAGTTACTCTTATTTTGTATTTTAAATACGTAACGCCGTTACATGTAATCCGTTACTTCCCAACCCTGGTCATGTCTTGGTCTCAGGCTGGGCAGACTTCGGATTGTAAATCAAGACTTGCCAAGACCACCACTGATAGGCTATTTTTCCACGTCATTACTGTGATTAGAAGAAAAACGCCTCTTGCAATAAGTCACTCACTTGACTTCGGTCTCAATCCCTTAATTACTTGGTCCTGTCTCGGTCTCTGAGCACTCTGGTCTTTGGCTCTCTTGGTCTTGGTTAGTGTGAACTTGACTACATCTACGTTTAGCCGTAACGTCCAACCACAACTTTATTTTCCCTCAGTTGCATTATTTGCAATCAAGTTAGCAACTTGTGAAGCGCCTGTGTTCACATCAAAAGCACTTCTTTTCACATGGTTTAGGGGATGGCTTGTCAAGATGTTGGACAGAACATGTAACCCTGTTTTGACACTCAGTTCAAGCGCTCTGATGTTGTTTGTGGCGTTATCAGGGGTAATGCAGATTTGCTGATCCTCTCTCAGTCTACAGGACTTAAGTGACTTTTTCAACTTTTAGCGGACTTTTAGATGTCAACAGTTTCCAATCT